CTCCAGCCTCACAGAATCCTGTTCCGTTCAATACAGCATTTGACTAGTTTGTGTTTGGGTGGTTAGTCTGGTCCCAGCACGGGAGAGGGCTGCGTCTCACGCTCCCCAACCCGATGCGCTGCACTGGCTGCAGGTGACATGCAGCAGTCACACGCCCCCAGGTTCGGTATCACAGCATTCAGCTGGGCCGGTGATGGCTGCTATAAAAATCAGTATATAAAGTTTAAAGAGCTGCATATAGTCTGCATTGTAGTCTAACTTTTTAACCTACATATTTTGCATGTCTTAGGAAAAATAACTACACAAAAACGCTATCATAAAGAGAACTTCAAAAGCATCAGGATAACGCAGAGCTGCAGAAAGATCCAGCTGCGGTGCTGTACTCAGTAGGAGGAATATACAGCAATGTCTGACCACTGCTAAGAGACATTGTTTTTAAATAAGGGAAAGGAATAACATGCTGGACTACGTATGCTATATTGTATTATATAACCAACGTAACAAATAATTTCTAAGTCATCACATTCCTAGCATGAAGATGACATATATATCTACATACTTGTATCTCTACGGAGCTCCAAAATCTGTAACTCTATACGTGTTCCAAAAGAGCCATTCTACAGCATTATGTCTTGCAATTTTTTTTTTCTTAAATTGATTTATATCCTATAGCACAGGGACACATATTCTACGTAATCTACCATAGAAGTCAATATTCTTACTCTCCATGTAAACTAACATATTCTTAAATATTGATGTGAATACATATCCATTAGAAGACTTCTGGCAAGGAACCACCGACGAGCATATGCTCTCTTCTTGTTACATGCTCACAACTTGGCTGTGAGCATGGTACTGTCACTAGGGAAGGCAGATTTCCTCCATGTCAAGAACAGGACTCACTTAACATGAGCTAACATGCACCTATGATTTGAACGGACCAGAAAACCTCCCTCCCAGGACAGCCAGGGTGAGAGCACAGCCCGGGGAGCTGGGAAGGGCACAGGGCCTCGCAGCAGCCGGCTGGCTGCAGACACACACGCGTTTCGGGTCCTGAACAAGGCTAACATCAATAGGCTGAAAACTAGCATTAGCTGCTGGCAGCAGCACAAGCTTTTCCCAGCTCAGAAGCTAGACATGCTGCTCTTCCTTCTGCTTCCTTCGGGATGTAGCAGAGACCGCGGAACTCACCAGCCACAGCACTTGGCTATGCCTGCACCAAAGACACCTCCTGTGCTGCTCACGGGCTGCCAGTTATTCTTCTCTCCCCATCCTGGGGGCAAGACTAAAACTTCAGCTACCAAATGCGTCACCAACAGAGGCATAGGAACATCTCTTCCCTAATCAAAAGTGAGTGCAAAGCATGTCAGCTCCTCAAACCTAGGCGAAATGGGTAGCAGGAGACCCCCTGCCTAGCCTACTGTTCCAACCTACATCTCTTTTCACCAGCTGAAGGGGAAGTCTATCAGTGGGAGACTGAATTTATATGGTCAAATATCCTAGTCCTAAAATTACAGCCTGTCCTCCATACCAGAGCCTGCATTGTTCAAAGCAATGAAAAAAGAAGGGGGGGGGAAGAGAACAAAACAAACAAAATGAGCCAGAGCAGGAGTTGCAAAGACAGACCAACTTTGTGGCAGACAACAGCAGTTTATCATTTATTGTCCACTAAACACTCTGAAGATACAAAATGCTTTATAGCTGCTGATCATCACATTTTTTAGAGACAATAAAGCCTCAATGGCAGCAGAAATGAAGAAGGAAAAGCAATCACGCTCTCGAAATAGTAAATCAAAAGGCATAATAATAAATATAAATAATATGTTGCAGTAGGAATGGGCTTCTTTCCAAGATTTTAGTCCTACCTGGCATAATACACAGCAACAGGAACGTACCACATCCTGGCATGCCTGAAGCCTGACAGAAAGCCACTACTGCTGTCATCGAGAGCAGCAGATGCTGTTCCTCACCCACGTGCTCTCTGACCATGTTATTGCCCCCTTAATTTTCTATGTACTGAAAGGTGTATGAGAACAAGGCACAGAACACATAACCGACAGGACAGATATCAGCATCACGCACGTAAGTGGATTGCAGAAATCTTCTGTATGGGGAAACGGTGAACAAAAAATCCACAGGTTCATAACTATATATTTATTCAAGTTCTCTGGATATGATTCAGTGTAGCTTTGTAAAGGAATTTAATAAGAACAGATACCTACGCTGGATGCAAAGTTTCCCATACTGGTTTTTAGTGGTATATATTTGAGCACTGACTTATTTAATGCTGACAGAACAAAGTAGTCTTAACCAAAGTAGCTGATACTGCAAGACTACCCCAGGCTGCTCTTCAATGCTAATCACTGCCTGTATGCCAAATGATATGGATTGGTACAATCACATCCACATGATCCCTTCTCTCGCAAGTTATGCCAAATAGCAAGTGGCTTATCTGAAAGATGCAGCCCCAGGACTCTGACTCACATGATGCTGAACTGCAGCATCGCACCGAAAACAAGGCACGATTCTGCAAATAGCGGCAAGATACTCGGAAAAAGCAGCCCAACGCAAGCAACGAAAACTGGCGCTCTGTAACGTACTGCAAACGTGGGCCAAGAACACGAGCATCCACATTCAGTCAGAGCAGAAGGCCAAGCAAGATTCAGGTTTACTCTTCTCAGCTCAATCCCTGCCCCACACCGAGCGAGACTAGCGTCCTGCCAGGTGTGCACGTCTACCCTTGCAAGTCGGCTCACTGACTTCACGGTCGTCTCTTTGGCTTCTGGGACCCCCCCCCGATTTCTGCGCTCTGCATTCGCCGGCCGAGATGCATTTGTAGTTACACTGGACTCTTGGCAGCAGCGACTTCTACTCACAAAATGGGACTCAGAATCTGATTAAGGCTTCCAGGAACTACTCTAACACAAGCAGTCCATAAATTAAAAATAACCCTTGTTATCCTCAGAAGTCCAGCTTTTGACTCCTTTTTAAAACCATGCACAGAGAAAAGCATCACTTCTTGTATTTAATTTTCGGATCCATTTAAAGTTTTTGGCTGAAGATCAGAATATCGACAGAATATTGTGCAACTAGCCAACACCAACACTCATGCCTGTACAGCACCAAGTGCAATGAAGTTCTGGACTGACAGCTCCTGTTTGTTGAACCTGCAATAGATGTGATGATACTACACACTATGATGCAGCCATGCTCTTGTCACAGCTGGGAAAGCATAACTGACCACACAATGAAAACCAAATTGTGTTAGAAGTCTTAGGGAAGTGAGAGGAGAAGAAAGAGGAAAGATGGCATTCCCCATCTTCTTCTGTACACCAAAACTTTATCAAAAAGACCCCTTAATTTCTTTATTCTCATTGCTTAGAGCAGCAAGCTGAGAGTTTGGGGCGTATCGCCTATGTCCACAGTTTCACATTCACACATAATATTGGAGGACCGATTATCACGCTGCTACCCAGCCTCAACCTCACGACCCCCTGGGAGATAAGAGGAACTTTGTGATGTGGGAGCATATGCAATGAGTTCAAGTGCACACCAGATTTGACAATTTGAAGGAAGCAGCCTCTGCTAGATAATTACATTATTCAAGGCAATGAAAGACTGTCTTCTTATTTCACAGCCTTTTTACTTTGGGCTTCTGTGAATTAATTTTTCTTGCAATTTATTATTTATTTTCTCCCTCATTCATTTTCCTCTCTCACCAATTAGTATAATTCCACTTTGATAAAAACATTGAGGTTTGAAGCAATCCCAAAAATGTTAGAGAAAAAGGGTAAAGCAGAAAGAACAGTGGGTCTGTT